CGGCCATGGCGGAGGGAAGCCAGCGAGGGCAACCCTCGCCGGCGTCGGGCGAGGCTGCCCTCGCCCGCCCTCGCCGGATCCGGTGAAGGTAGCCCTCGCCGGCTTCCCTTCGCCATGGCTGGCGGAGGGAAGAGAGAAAAAAAGAAACAAAATAGAAAAAGAAAAAAGACGAAAATGCCCATGGGCCAAAGTATTGTGAGGTATATGTGTCACAAATGACATAGTTTCGGATTTTTTGCGTCACAAAAAAAAGTTCAGGGTAAATTTATCACAAGTGGCATAGTTTGGGGTTTTTCGTGTCATAAAAAAAGTTCAAGGTAAATTTATCACAAGTGGCATAGTTTACGATTTTTAGTGGTATTTTCCCGAGTATTTAATCGATAATTTTAAGATTTCTTTCTATAAATGACTGTTTAGATTCTTTAGTTTGGGAATATGTCGATTTCCAAAGCGGTGATTACCATGATGTTAAAACAGTCTGTTTAATTAAAAATGCAGAATATTATTCGTTAGTTAGTTTATTTTAAAAGGTGCCGGGAGACAATTTTTACCGATTTCCACACTAATAACTTTCATCGAAAGTGCCTGCCCCATAGAAATTTAATCTTAAGGGCCTTCTAAGCTAAGCATTCAAAAGGAAGTCCACTCCTTTTGAGAAATATAAAATGCTTTTCTTGAGAGTCCTAGCCTATTCAAACGTGGTACGTGCTGGCCACACTGCTCTATGGATGGTACAAAAGCAATGCTAAAATTCCAAACTTTAATAAATAAGAGACTGGTGAGATTCTCAAGCTTAGGCTCTTTAATGTATGGTGATTACATTTAATTTCCGGTGATCATATTTATGTCGATAGTTCATGTAATTGTGTCACAACAGTTAAAATTTCTATCTTATGTGATAGAAATGCTCGTTTTCGTCGTAAAAAGAAAGTCAAAATATGTCAAGTCGTGCAATTATTCTCTATATTAGTTATGTCTTGACCGATTAGGAAATATTTCATTTATATTGGTCAGAGAAGAAACCTTTTTACTTTTGGTAGGATAGTAGATCAAATTTGATTTAGTTTCAATAAGATGACTAATTTTCTTTTCTCTTTTTTTTTTTTCAGCAAGAGAAAAATTTATGTGTGGATGAAATATTTCGCTACCATGTAGGCAATAGGGGTGAACATGATTCCAAGGTAGAACCTGAAACTAGACCGGTGATCCGGTTCTAAGTTTCAGGATAGATTCCAAATTCCAAAACTTGGGGAAACTGTTTCAATGGGTAGGTACCAGATTCTAGGTAGGTAGAACTTGAAACAAATTTTTGTGTTTTTCTTGGTCTTTGTCTTCACGTGATCCTATGATATTTCATGGCGTTCGATAATAAGTGTATAATTCGAAGACACTAGTTTGAGCTTCCATTTTATGACTGAGACTATTTTGTTAAAGTTTCATATTCTTTATGTGTCTAAATATAAATTGTGGTCAATAAATTCTAACAGCAAGTGATGGTCATTAAAGGTGATGATTCACTGTAATCGTTCAATTAATAATACAGATGAAATCTAAGTAGACCCTATAACCAACCTTAAAATCTGTGACAAGGTAGGTTTCAGGTTCCAAAAAATGAGGAACATGTTCCAACAGTTAGGTTCTAGGTTTAGTTTCAGATGGAACTTGTACGGAACTTGAAACCTCTCACCCCTAAAAAGAAAGACATGAGCTAAAAATTCATGCACGAAACATACTTTCCTTAAGGAATTCGCACAAAAACATTTGTCCATGACCATTTAACCATTCCGCCAAGGTTTTAACATCGTCAATCCTTATGCTGATAAAATATTATCACATCATTGTTAAAGATAAATGAGTCTCGTTTCTGATGTCAACAATTTGCAAGATCCGAAGAAATGTTGATATAGAGACCACATGGAAATGACATGGCATTCTCAAATCGGTGTCTCTCAAGTCCACCATCTGTCGATAGATACTAGTTGAGTTCCTATCAAAGTGTGTCGATAACGTGAAAATTGAAAGTTTGGTTATTGAAATAAATGTTCCAGTGAACTAATTTCGATATCTACTAAATTCAGTGGCCACAGATGAAATTATCCACAAAAAAAGCATAATACGTTGTGTTGTCAGTTAATGTGGAATGTAGCTTAGTTATCGAAGACAAGTCAAAATAGTTACTAGTCTTTAATAATCGTCTCGATGAGGCTCATTCAAGCAATTCTTGCATATATGTATCTATAGCTCCAATGAATGTTCAAAGGAGTCCACGCAATCCAACGTTCTAATTACAAATATATATATTCAATAAAATTCTAATTATAACCATATATTCATCTTGACCTGACTACACATAGTAGGAATGGTTGGTCAGAAGCGAAGGCATTCTCACAATATAACTGTGCAAGCCTCTCTTAGATACTCTCTACTTCTAAGTCATCTTACAAATCGCTCGTAATTTCAAATTGTGTAGTCTGCTCGTGCACATATTTTAAACTTATCATACTCAAATATAATTCTACGAGATGCGCACTCAAACAAGATATTGCTCCGATACCGTTCTTAATTGCCTAGACAAGAATTTTTTTGGGAATCAATCCCGAACGAAACTACTTAGGTCGTGACAAAATGGTGGTTATATTTGATCCATAGTCTTCTTAAAAAAAAAACCTTTGCCCAGACATCAATAGACGACCACGTATACTTCTAATAGTAGAAATATGACTCTAAACTTCATGTGACGGTTGCCGGTCATGGCTAATGTGAACACCAACTTGATCTTTTGTTTATAAGCATGATCATTATTCTTTTAAGCAAATAAGTCACATCAAGAAGTCATTCCCGTCCATCCCAAACGGCTTTCATTGGTTGCTGAGTATCGACGACGATTGAACCTTATTATAATTAGAGCAATGACTCGGCGGGTCTATTCAACCAAGTAATTTCTTTTTGTTCTTCTTTATGGAATAAGTTTCCTGGAATTACAGAAGGTGAAAATTGCATAAATATGATGCAAAAATCAAGAAAAGAGGGTGGAAAAAGAAAGTAAAGAATAATGGGGTGGAAAAAATGTTGGAAAAAATACTACAAAAGATCCTAAATAATGTCCATTGCGACCCCAATATCATAAATTTTTTTGCATCACCATAACTTGTACTGATTTAACAGAAATACTCTTCACCATAAAAAAGACAATTTTATCCATCGCGACACCCTGAATTTTTTTATGCCTCAAACTTATACACTAGTGAGAAATTTACGCCAAACTAATTTTTTGACCACCAAAAATCCCAAACTGGTACACCTATGATAAATTTACCCTCCGTTTGACAGTTGACCGGTGTACTAGTTAGGTATTTTACCCCTCCGTTTGTCACATGTTTATAAGTTTGTGATTTTTCGTGGTATTTATCTAATTTAATAGAAGGTAAATTTGCCACAAATGTACCGGTTTGGGATTTTTGGTAGTAAAAAAATTAGTTTTTGGTAAATTTGTCATAAATGTACCAGTTTGGGGTTTTTGGTGATAAAAAAATTAGTTTGTGATAAATTTATCATAAATGTACCAATTTGAGATTTTTCGTGGTATTAACCTTTTTTTTATTTCGTGTCATCAATACCCCGAACCGGCACCAGCACGATAAAATTATTGGTGGTTTTGATGATACATAATTTTTTTTTTGGGAGTGTCGGTGTCACGACGATCATAGTTTAGATTTTTCAACGGCTCGATATGAAATTTTGGGTATTGATAATTTTTGTTGGGGGGGCTGTTCAAATTGGGTATTGATTTCGCAAGTGGGATATTTGTAGGCCTAATTCCATAAGAAATCCCAAACTTTAGGTTAAGTCCCAAATCTACTCCAAACTTTTTTTTGTCTCAGAAGAAACCTCAATCTTTAGGTCTAGTCCCAAATTTGCCCCGAACTTTTTTTGTCATAAAAAAAACCCAAAACTTTAAATCTAGTTTCAAATCTGCCCCAAATTTTATTTTGTATAAAAAAATCACCAAAATTCAATGTATTTTAAAAAATACATCCCGTAATCAAGTCCTAACTTGACGTGGCACTTCCACATCGATAATATAGACAAAGTAATGGGGCTTTTTTTTAGACAAAGAAAAGTTCGAGGCAAATTTGGACTGAACCTAAAAATTGGGTTTTTTTAAAATTAAAAAAGTTTTTTTTGGGTGAATTTGTTATCGTTCCTAATTTTCATATCTTAGAACGGTTTGATTTTGGAGAATTTCAACAATTTTTATTGGGTTGAATTTGTTATCGAAGTGGAAATGCGACGTTGGTACGTACATATTGCTCCATTACTTTGCTGATGTCGATTTGTTATCGACGTGGAAGTGCCACATCAAGTTGGGACTGGATCATGGGGATATATTTTTGAAAATAAATTGAAATTTGCTGTTTTTTTTTCACAAAATAAAATTCGGGACAGATTTGGGATTGAACTTAAAGTTTGGGGGTTTTTTCCGAGATAAAAAAAAGTTCGGGAAAGATTTGGGATTTGACCTAAAATTTGGAGTTTTTTTTGAGATAAAAAGATTTCGAGATAAATTTGGAACTCGACCTAAAATTGAAGGTTTTTTAGGAAATTCACCCGATATTTTTAGGGTTTTGCTAGCGTTAATCAAGAATATCATGAGAAAAACTTTAAAAAAAAAAAAGGGAGGGGGTGAAGAAGGAGGGGGGAAAAAGAAAAAGCGACGATGACAGGCCGGGGGAGTAGGCCCCTATGTGTTTTCGACTCCTCATTTGCCCATCCTCGTACGGACATGTACGAACGACGTGGACATGTTTCTAACATTGTACTGTAGTTTGCCATTTCCATCTCCCCCCATTGGCCATCTTTTCCATTTTCTTCCCCCCTTTCTCTCTCTCCCACCTTAGAAATTGTAAAAGCAAAGCAAACTACCTGTTCCTCTCTCTCTCTATGGACTCCCCCTCTCTCTCTCTCTTCATTATCTGTAGGAGAGAGACTTTTCCTTTTTGTATGCTGAATGCTTTTGGGGTTTTGCATCGTGAGTTTTACCAAAACAAGCAAAAAGGAAAGGTGGAGTGGGGGGGAAGAGTCCTCATTTTCATCCCTTTTGCAATGCAAACCCAAAACATAATTCGATTTCTTCTTTTAGAGAGAGAGAGAGAGAGGGAAGCATATGAAAAAGGAAAGGTGGGTGCGGGAGACCGTCTGTGCTTCCCCATTTGGTGACTATCAATGAATTGAGAGAATCCATCAATCGCCGACCCAACAACCCCCCTCCTTCCCTCCCCTCCAGAAAAAGCTCTTGTTTTTTTCATCATATTTTCGCTTCCTTTTTGCCTTAATTATCCTTTGGGTGCTCCCTTCATCGTTCCTCTGGGTAATACTGATCACACAATCCTTAAGATTTTCCCCCCAATATACTTTTCTTCTTCTTCTTCTTCCTCTTCCTCTCCCTCTCTCTCTCTCTCTCTCTCTCTCGTCTCTCGCTTTCCCCATTTCCTGCCTCTTTCCATGTCCTCCGTGTTCGTCCGAAAGCATTCTTGATTTTTGCCTCCTTTGGTGAAATCGATTTTGAGGTCGAATCCTCTCGCTACCCTCTTGTCCTTTTGTTTCTTTCGAGGACTGTTTCCAGCTGAAGGGAAGCTCTTTTTCTTGAATCGAATCGAATCGAAGGCCTGCAGCAAACCTCACCTGGGTCTGTTGCTTGCGTCTTGAATCCTTGTTTGTTCCTCGATCTCTGCTGGGAAATCCTTAATCCGCTGCATCAAATCTCAGGTATATTTTTTTTTCCTTCAATTTTCTTGGCTGATTTGTCGCTAGTAAAAGCTCACTCTTTTTAATCTTTGAGCTGATTCAACTATTTTTTTCCTTTAAAGATGTTGGATTTCACCCTGTTCTTTCTGCGAACCAGCACTCAAAATTTGAGCATTTCAGTTCGAATGGCGTTTTGGGTGTTAAGTCTTTTTCGTCTCTATCTCTCTCTCTCTCTTTCTTCACTCCAGGATCAGTCAGTTTCACACACCCACATGTGTAGAATTTTCAGCCAGTCAATTTTGGCCCAGTTTCAGCCAGTCAATTTTTCCTCACACGTTCTTGCCTTTCGTCACTGAGAAATCACATCCATAGGGAAAAAAAAAAACACAAGAAGCTGTTTTTTCGTTCGAGTCCTTATTGGTGCACTCATCATTTTGTGCCTTCTCAAATTGATGCGTTTGTGCGTCCTTTCTTTTGTGAGTTGATGAGCGTGATTGTTGTGTAGAGATGGTGAGAGGGAAGACCCTGATGAGGCGGATAGAGAACGCGACGAGCCGGCAAGTGACCTTCTCGAAGAGGCGGAATGGGCTGCTCAAGAAGGCCTTTGAGCTCTCCGTGCTTTGCGATGCTGAGGTTGCACTGATCATCTTCTCGCCGCGAGGCAAGCTGTATGAGTTCGCAAGCTCCAGGCATGGAAAAACTTTCACCCTTCTTTTTCCTCTTAATGATCGTCTAGATAATTATTGTGTATTCATGTAGTGTTTGCTCATGTTACTTTTACTTTCTTCTCCTATCATCATCTCCTGATTTAAATATGGTTAGCATTTTTTAGTATGTGCTCCTCCGATTGCAGAATGTGTGATGATTCTCTTTCTGCTTGCTTAGGGTTACGATACTCTCTCTCTCTCTCTCTCTCTCTCTCTCTCTCTCATATTAAGTCTAAGATGTCCTTCTGGGAAAAAAAGAGAGATAAATATAGGTTCATCCAGTTTATTAGGGAACTCAATCCATAAAACAAGCCTCGGAACACAGTTTCGTGTGTTTGTTTAGCCCATCTTCTTGGCTTGAATTTCACTGCCTTGAGTTTTTGGCCGTCATCATCAAACACCATTGAACTGGAAATGTCATTGACCAACTAATTAACCATATGACGATGTTTCACAGATGGAAATAGCGTTCCCAAGCAAACTTACTGACATATAGTTATTCCTCTTTATCAGCAAATAGACAATAGTACATGTGTCCTATTTGTTGGTAAAATTGAAACAACAATATCTTGTGAATTAGCTATTTATAGTGGAGCAGAGAAATCGTACCAAGTCCTGTACAACCATAGGCATTAGTTTATGGGAAACAATGGGTATTTATAGTACTCGTGGCCAAGTGCTTTATGTCTTGGGGGGATGAGATGGAGTACCTACTTATATTTTTACAGTCTTTGCAGTCGATTGATATGTCAAATTTATTAAAAAAAAGATACATATAAGGGTTTACAAGTATATCCAAGTAAAAAAGAAGCAGCAAAATCCAAGTCCACTCAAACTGACCCAACTTTAGCAGACTACTAGGGTTAGCACAACGAGTGCGATACATGCAAAGCACTTATTGATAAAACCCATTTCCACTCGTACTGACCCAACTTTAGGAGACTACTAGGGTTAGCATGACGAGTGCAATACATGCAAAGCACTCATTGATTCCTGACAACCTAAAGTGAGATTGGACTGTTTGTATCATGTCTTCTCAACTCCTTTTTTTTGGGTGGGTAATTATCGAAAGCCTTGTGTGGTTGTTGTAACTTAAATCAATGGTCTTTGTCAGTACTATAAAGTGAGATACTTTCCTGATATTTTTTGGGGAGATTAAGATTATTAGTACTCACCCTTGCCAAAGCATCAGTGATTTCATTACTCAACTGATGCCTTTAATGATTTCTTTCTTTTCTTTATTAGATTCTAATTAATCCCTTTCCTCTTCCTTATAGTGCCATACTCATATTTGTTTACACAAAACACCAAAAGAACCTAGCAACCATAACTCTTTCTCTTTTCGTGGCGTTACTCCTTCGCTTCTTGCTTCTTCGTCCGTAGTATACTATCTCTTGGCTGGAACAATTACTCCGGAGATCAAATTGCGTGAAGCGCCAAGTTTTGATAGACATTGAAATGATTTTACATTTCACTCGAGTTTCACTCACGTCCTTTGATCATTCATGGCTGATCTGTTCAAAATAGCCGAGTGTGATTAGCAAGATAATGTCAAGCTATTTGCTGAGAGTTCACTAGCATATGTGGATCTATCCATGTTCTCTTTTCTCTGCTTTTTATGATGTAAGTATCTTCCTCTCTTTTCACATTTTCTCGAACTTTCTAGCTGCACCGACGTTCTTCCCATTGATATCAAGCTACTTCCTAAGCTATTCTTTTCTGATAATGGCCATAAAAGCTCATGCAATTACCATGTAATTAATAACTGACAGTGTGGGAAATGATTGATATTATGGAAATGAGAGTGACCAGTCCAAATGTGACTCGGTACAAAGTTGCCCCTCATGTTTGTTTGTGTTTATTACAAACATGCGATCATGTCTTGTTTGGGGGATTTCAGACTGTCTTTCCAGAATCTGTGGTGATGGTCTATGTTCGCGTCTATAGATTTATTAGGTTTGGTCAGACACAATAATCCTTCCTCAGGTAATCAAGTCAATGACCTAACGTCCATATTTACATCATTGACGAGATACTAGGTAAGTTCAGTTTCTCTTTGACAAAGTGTCATATTCAGTTTCTCTTTGACAAAGTGTCATATTGGCTTACCCGTCTTAACTCTTCTCATTTGTGCACCTCTCCTAGTCAGAGAATTAACCTAGGCTCGATAAATATTGCCTATGGCTCATTATCTCTAGTTTGAACCACAGACAATCATAGTTTGATCCATTAGTTTAAACTATTAGATAAATCTAAGGCGGCGTCGAGTGATGAATTAGAACAAGTATTGCCAACAAATTTGGAAAGTCACTAACTTTACGTGTCAGTGTAATCCTATCGAGTGGCATTTTACCCCTTCAGTAAAGTCGATCCAGGTGTTCGATGCTTTGGTTGATGAGCTTCATCAACCTTTTTAAGACCTTCGTTTTTTCATCTAGGTAAGCATTCTTCGGGTAAGGCCCACGACTGTTAGTCGCTTCTGGATTGGGTATGCCAAGTTATCCAATTTTCAACTCTCAGTTCCTTCATTACTCTCCAAGCCTAGAAATTGATTTAGTGGATACATATTTTATGCATTTGATAAATGTCGTAGTAAACCCGTTCCCATCTCCACTTAGCAGTTTAGGTTTTAGTTTGGAGTCTTTTAACTTGCAATCCACTTGAACCTTCATTGAATGACAGTTTCATTGTTCTTTTCAATGAACCATTCCAGGTGGGATTTATAACTATCATCTTCCTATCCTTCTATTTGCATTTCTTATGAGTCTTTAACTCTTTTTTCTATCTTCTTTCTTTAATTCGTATTCTTTTCTTCTTCCATGGGATATATTGAGCTCTTGCACCAACAACAATGTAGCACGTTCTTTAGATACTTGATAGTAGGGGTGAGCAGTTACAGGTTCTAGCTGGAACCTGGAACCTACCATCGGGTACAGGTTTCTCATTTTTTGAAATCTGAAACCTACCCGTCAGAACCTGGAACCTATAACCTACCCTATCACAGGTTGTAGGGTCCAACAGGTTCTTTTTTTTTTTCATTTTTAGTTAAAAATAACAAAGATGAATGCAACAATACCGAATAAGCTTATTATTCACCAAAGAGAATACAAAAGACTAGTTTTCCTAGCATTATAGTTCAAATAAATACAATTAAAATGAGAAGTCATTGCGTGAATCGATACGCAACAGATTCACAAGCGATTAGCATGTCGATCAAGACAATATCCATATCTAGGGCCACAAACAAAATAGGAAGCGGGAAATAAGAAAGAAAGATGAGCTTTTGGTCTTCAAACATCCATGAAAATTTGTTTTAAATTCTAACCACCTAAAATCAAAAGAACCAACAATCATAGTTGATAACTTAATAATATTTTTAAATTTAAAATTGAAGTATCACGTATGGATTATTTGTAATTGCAACTACAACGTTTTTTTTCATCCATTATCGTCATGGTTCTAACTATGCAATCATCAAGCTTAAGTTATTTCTTGAAAGAGTGAATGACGAAAACAATCGACCTCACTAAAGAACAAAAACTTGGCATAGATATATGACAATGAATACCCAAACATAACAGGTTAAGCAAAGCAATGAGCATGCAAATGGTAGGTACTCCAAAACCACAATATATCAAAGGTCTAAATAAACCCTAGGAAATGTTCTACATGACAAGTTAAGCAAAGTAATGATCATGCGGATAGAGATAAGAATTTGAGAGCCAAGAGGTGAGGAGTAGTGAGAGAATTAGGGATTTTAGATTTAGGGTTCCCGGTTCTCGGTTCCAGTTCCCGATTTCGGTTTCGGTCCTCGGTTTCGGTTCCCGGTTCCGGTTCCTATAGGAACCGGGAACTGAACTGGAACCAATGGTTCATAAAAAAATGGAACCGGGAACTGGAACCTCCCTCTATAGAACCAAGAACCGGAGAATTGGACATCGGTTTTCAGTTCTATCTTGGACCCGTGCTCACCCCTATTTAACAGTGTTTGGATGATTCTCCCACCAAGAAAGAAGAGCCTATCTATATCCAGATATGGAGAAGGAAAACGTTAAAACTTAATCCCCTCCATCAACTTATTTCTGAAATTTGGTTGCTTTTCTTTCGAATCTTCCTATGAAGGAACACAGAAATTCATTTGTCAGTGAAGTTGAGAGAAATAGCTTTTGGTTCTTGTTCTCTCCCATTCCGAAACTTTCTCATTGTACTCGAACTTTCTCTACGCGCCAATTCAGCCAATAATACTAATAATCATGGTAATTGTCCTTTCAAAATCCTCCTCTTACCTTCAACCCTTTGCCTAGCATTGTGTAGGTCTTGTATGGACATTGAGTGGACAAGTTGTGATGACTTCCAATAGTTATGACAAAGACACTTCTTTTGCAAGGTGTGATTCATATGATTTTCGATAGTATGTCTTTCTTTAAAAGGTAAGATATTGTTTTAATGGCAGTCTCTAGATGCGGAAAAAGTATATTTAGTTACTCCTACATAGCATGGTATCAATTGATTGTTGATTTTGTATTGTATCGTATGATTTAATTCGATTCAAGATTTAAATTATACGTATATGATAGATGAATCTATATATTCATCAATTCACCATTGAATCTATCGATCTCTACACTCTTAATTACATCGATTCTTGATTGTGTTAAATTTTACCCACTATATAATTTCCCGGAGTGTAAAGTGTTACGCAACAATAAATATTTTATGAAAAGTAAGAATGACTCCAAACAGAAAGTAGGTTTCTAAAGTTTTTGCCTTTTTCGGCTTGTTAGTTTTGGATGCCCTTCCCTTCGCATCTCTCTAGCCAACTATGGAATGTCCTGCCTTTCTTGGTGGGATCAAGTCAACCAACAAAGTTTGGGAAGTCTGTATTCAATGAGAATTTTTATGGAAACCAACAGTTAGAGGGAATTTCAAAAATATCAGGAAGGAATTGTTAGAAATTGAATGTAGGATATCTTTTGACTCTG